AAGCAGCGTAGTTTCCATAGCCATCTGCTATGAATTGGGGAGTAGGAGCAATTCCGAAATTGCATGAATTGAGACTTGTCTCTTGTTTTGATGAGTTTCGTTTTTGGGCACTCTCCACCCCTTTCCTTTTTCCATATCGTTGTTTCTCCTTTCTTTCTTCTATCCCGCTTCTCCTTGTGATGAGAAAAGCTGTGAACTTGATGCGGAGTTGAGGATTGAACGCGGTTCTCATCATGTATCCGGGAAGATGAACTTTCTTGCGCTCGTCCATCTTCTCTGCCATTTTTGTTCAGGCCTACTTCATGTGTTCTAGAGACCTGTCCATGTCCCTTTCAATACAGATGCGAGACTATGCAGCGCCTTCTAGAACACATGAAGCAGGCCTGGGCAAAAATGGAAGAAAATGGACAAGCGCAAAAAGAGCAATCTGCCCGGATATGGAATTTAACTCGCTTTAATTTCACACCTTTTCTCATCACAAGGAAAGGGGCTGAGAATGGCCAAAAAGGGAACTCATCAGAAAACAAGAGAAAAGTCCCAATTTATGCAACTTCAGAATTGCTCCTACTCCCTAATTCATGGCGAAAAGCGCTCATTCTTCAACCCCGCTTTGAGCTCGAAGTTCTGCTGATCAAGAAAAAGAAGCGGGGTAGAGGAATAAGGCCAAAATGAAAGAAATCTGGAAGAAAAACCGTTGAAAACGGTCAAAATTCTCCAACTCGCGCCGTTCAAAACGCGTGCGGGGCGGCTGCAGCGCATGCAGCACAGTTGCAGTTCCCGCACAGTTCCCAGCACAGTGCGGGAACATTGCGGGACTGTGCGGGAACAGTTCCGGAACATGGGAATAAGTATGAACCTAGCCTTAGGAGCTGAACTGGTCTGATGGATTACATTTCGTCATCGGTCGATATCGGCTTATCGATTTTTTGTAAACTTTGAGTTACAGGTGTAAGAGTTGGCACAAGGGGTAAGCAGCAGTATGCGGCATAAATCAGCAATTAACATGTGTATATAAACATAATATCTGCAATCAGAAGTCATCTGTAACCATTCGCGGCGATATTTGGCCAAAATGCGATCTTAAAATTTCGAACGATTTTCATGCGGACGTGAGTTCGTCAGCTCACAGTTCGGCGACCAATATAGGTAAAGGCCTAGTTCAAGCATGCTCTAAGAGCACTGCCTCTATTAATTTGTTATCCAACAGACACGCGCAAAGGGCAGACAAACTTAGGAACTTGCGTAGTATCGCAGCATTCCTCTCAGCATAACTCTGCCAAAAGAACTTCTGCTGCACAGAGGGCACTATTTCTGTAATCAGCGAGTCCGAAAACCTCTATGGGCGAAGTTTCCGCTATCCAAGATCATCAATATTTTAGCCAAAACCGGTCGGCGAGCTTCACCAGCTTAGAACGAGAAAAAATGAAAGGTTCTGGATTCCTTGGAAAACTTGCGCATAGAGGTTATCTAACCTGCTGATCACGAAAAACACACCTGCTTTGCAAATTAGCGTCTTACTGTAGGGTTACGGTAACGAAAATTTGAGAGACATCGATTTTTTCAAAATTAAACGGCCTATCTTTCCCTATGGAAAGGGAATCCTTCGCTACTCACTAATACATGATAATCTACGGGGACAGCACTACTGACCCATGTTTACTTGATTCGTCCATGTGTGTTCTTCGCTGAGTTACACCACTACGAATACCCATCCTCACACAAAAATCGACCAGATTGAAAACAGAATAGTACGAGAGTGCAATACATCAGAAGATTCTTCTTGACGAGCTGAGCATCATGCTTTCTTCGGATTTGTATTTTATGCAATTTGAAGGAAGTTATGAAGAAAAAACGAAAAAAACGCGAATCGTCAGTTTTTGCGTTTTCTGTCGAATAATTAGTGTGGGTACTGTAACATGGCACTGCTAAACATCTTTATAGTGGAGATATGTGGGATCTTAGGATACGAAATCTTCGATGCGCGAGCTAGGGATTATCGAAAAATTCACAATTTTCCGATTCCACTTTTCCTATCAAACATGCTCAGCAGTACCGTGATATATCCTCAGCACAATTTTACAGCTTTTTCATTGAGTTTTTAGAGAGATAAATGACTTTACAATGCGTGTGCGCAAGCCAGTTTCACGCCCGCTAGGGCGAGTTTATCCTTCCCCATCGGTGGGGACGCATGCCGATATACGGTAACCAAGAGGTGAGCGATTCTGCGACTTCAATCTCAGCGAAAACTCTTCACATGTCCGATCAAAATTGAAGACTTTTAAGAAAGCTCTTTGTCGCCATTTTCGCTCTTTTCAAGAGGGGAGCGACTTTGCGGACTTTCATTTCATTCGCATGGAATGATCCCAAGTAAGATTTTTTT